GTACTTTATAATGTATAAATTACGATGTAAATCAATTGTGTAATGTGTTTCTATTTTTAGGTACGTTCCCTCCTGTTCTGTACAGTACATTTGTAATATGCTTTCCGTGCAACCAAATATCAAAAATTTTCTGGGTCCCGCATCCGATTGTTTTATTTGAAAATCCCTTAGTCTGCGTATGCGTAATACGATAAAATCGCGTAAAAGGTGGGCAATTTACGATTTTTACTTCTGTCTTTAACACTAAAATGCCTATTAGTTTACATAATATTATTAAAAAATAGAATACTGAAAAATTAATAGAATTCTTGAGAAATCAAGAATTAAACCTAGATGACGAAGATTTTTCGTGTTTGAGAAGTCAAAAAATTTCTGGTTCAAGCTTTCTTCTATTGAAAAGAAGAGATTTAATCGACTGTAAATTAAAGGTGGGGCCTACTGTAACACTTTTAAATTTAATCACTGAAATTAATACTGGTATGTACTGTAAAGTATATGGATTTGGTATATAGTTAGTTTATTGTATAACTTATTTAATTTCTTTCTTTATAGAGAAATTGTCAAATGAAAAACTTATTCCTGTTCTTAAAGACATAAAAAATTCGAAGTGGTTATACTCCAGATATTTCTATACCTTTCCTTTTAACAAATGGTCACTTGAACATTATGAAAATTGGATTCTTAATAATTACACAACTTCAAAAAAAGAGGTTTACAATCAGTGTTTTTTTAAATTGGTTCGAAAAATAAAAGAAGATTCTAAAACTTTAGAAGAAATAAGAGAATTCGTATCAAAATTAGACAGAAAGGTAAGATATTGATTTAAATTTTTTTTCTATACTACACCTGTTATTATGATGAATTGTCGGTCGTCTTGTGTAGTGGCCTTTTTGGTGTGAGCAACGTTTTATCTATCCTAGTGAATGGGAATCGGTTCTCATTGTGTAAGGGATAGTATTAATAATATATGGGTTTGGATGAGGCTACTCCTTGCCTATCCCGTGAGGATCGGTTCTCACATTAATAGGGATAGCACAGGGGAAGGTACGTCCTTGAAAGTTAGCCGAATTAGTACATTTTTTACTGGCTATGTCCGGTAGTATGTGTCTGATCATCCTTACTTTATTGGAAAACTTTATTATATTTATTTTGTATATCTTAACAAGTGTTAAAATTAACTGAATATGGTGTACTTAGTTGTTCTTTTAATTAATCAATTTCTTACTTGATTACTGATTTTTTTCTTTTTTTATAAAATAGTCAAATTTTGTATGTAACGATTCTATTGATGATGAATATACTGGATATGAAGCAATGTTAGAAGGCAACATTTCAACATTTATTGATATGATTTTGAATTATTATAAGGCAAAATCTCTTAGAGAGTTTAGGGAATACAATGAAGTAGCGTTCCAGACCGCAGTCGAATTACTACTTCCCACAAAGCATTGGTGTTCTGAATTACGTCTCATAGTAGATAGTTCAAAAATATCAGGCGAAGGTCGCTTTGGCTTCATCGATATTTTCGTTAATGGAGCAAATGGAAACGGTTTAAATTCAAGCATAATATTGGAACTAAACTGTATATCGTTGGTAGGTCTTCTGAGTGGAGAAGAAGGAAGATGGATTGATAATCCAGATTATAGATCGTTAATGGCATTAGATGCCAAACTTGAAGAAGAAACCGAAAATGAATTATTAAATAGAAATTATTTTTATTGGCGTAAAGAGACAAAGAAATGTAAACGAGTAAACGTAAAAAAGATAATCAGTGATGGAGTGAAACAGCTTAATAGATATATGTTAACAATGCAAAATGGTAAGGTTAATAATCAAAAGGTATCAGGAGTTTGTGATGATAAAATTAAAATAGAGAAAGGCGAGGGATTTTTGGGAGGTTTTCTTTTGGTCTCGATAGGTTCTAAACGAATCTTGACTAAATCATCAGAATTTAAGAAAATAGGCATAAAATTTTCTATATCTTGTTAATTGGAATTTTCATATTTCTTTAGCTGTATCAACAAATTAATAAGATGATCCTGGAGATTGTTTTTTATATAATAAATTACGATGATTGATATTTCATAGTAGCATTAAAGAATCGCCTGAAGAAAAACCTTAGTTAATAAAAAATCGGTCGTAATTCTGTATAGAATTTTCTGTAGTAGAAATCATGACTTTTAAAAATTCTAGTTATTTCAGCCTCGATCAAGGACAAAATTCTTATGTGCGATCAGCATTGATGTTGATTGATATCATCACATTTTTGTTGCATATCTATTTTTGCATATAAATCAGATCTGGTTGTAGCATTATTAAATAAAGAAAAATGTCAAATAAAATATACCTCGCACTATTTTTTGCTGGTCTTAGTGACCGATTCCGCATATATAATTGTAATTATTTTTGCATGTGTATTTCATGAATTAAGGTTGAGGCTGAGAATATCGAAGTTAAAGCTGAGAATGCCAAACTAAAACAAACTCTGAAAGATTATGAAATTAGGTTTGCTAAACTGGAGCAGAATGATAAAAATACTGCCACTGAAAATGCTGAACTTAAATCTAGAGTTGTGAAATTAGAACAGAAACAATTACAAAACGATTCTTCTAATATCATCGATACTAGCCCTAAATTATTAGAAGATGATACAGGAGAAAATAATCAATCTTCGATCATTACCCCTTGTAAAATGAATTC